AATTATTATTGATTTTGATTTTTAATATGTTAAAAAAACCAACTTTTTTAACTTAACTTTTGAAAATATTCCTGAAATACTGCGTCCTTTAAACATATGTTAAATTAAAGCTTATTTTATGTACTATAAAATTAAAAAAAAAATTTGTCACGACACTTCTCTTCTATGTGAAAATGGCTGTCAAAATTAAAAAAAAAATGTAATGTTTGCGATAAAAATCACCTTTTATCGGGATGTTTTTTGCACTTAATACTGCCTTAACTTGTTCACATATTAACAAATCAAAATAATATTTTTTTATATTGAAACCTTAGATATTTCCCTTTCATTTGATATCATTTATTTTTTAAATCTAACACTTATTTTACTCACAGGGGGGATTTAAAATAGCAACTTTTTTAACTTAACTTTTGAAAATATTCCGGAAATACTGCGTCCTTTAAACATATATCAAATTAAAGCTTAGTTTATGTAGTATAAAATTTAAAAAAATGACTCAAATGTTACCGATTCGGCAACTGTTTGTTGCTTTCGTCGCATGATAAAACTGGCTATTTAACCTACTAAAGTCAAAAATTTTATACAAACATTTAAACTCCATGGAGTATTTGTAATATTGACATCAAATTTAAATGTATTAATACAAATATTTAAAATGAAAACGATAATAGTGATGTATCAATAATATTTTGTATTAAACAAAAACAAATTTGATAAGTTAGTTTTAAGACTAAAAAATCATAAGTAAAATATATGTATTGTTTTTGGAGCCAATGGAATAAAAAACATTTGTTGTCAGGCCAAATCAGAGTCTTTTTAAATCACAATAAGACTGCGAGAATTATTAAAATATATATTAATAAAAATTACTCCCTCCGTGATGAGTGATATTCTTATATTTTATGAACTTTATTCTTTGTCAATTAAATTATAAAATATTCATGAAAGTCAGTGTAATTCCCTTATAAGATATATTATAATATCTACTATATTATACTACTTATAATATTATAACTTCCATTAAAAGAATTTTTATAAGCTTCATTTATGTTTAAAAATAAAATTGTTTTATTACACTTCGTTATTTATATTACAATTGCATTTGCAGGTAATTTTTTTTTAATTATTTTTCTCATAAAATAATTGATGTTTAAAGGTTTTACTACTGTAATATTTTCAAATATTTTAGTCTTAAAATAAAAATTATTCATGTAAAAAAAATTTGAGTTTGTGATAATTTTGTGATCACAAAAAATAAATTTAAAGAAGTAACATTGCTTTTAAAATGTATGTACATGACGCACATACATATTAAATTGTGAATATGTACACTTTTATTCCCTATTTGGTCTTAAAAATTGATGTTTTATAAAGAAAATAAATTTTCCATTTGATACAAAAAATTCAAACATACTCTTCACAATTTATAAAACTACTAAAAATGTTTTCATTTTTTAGTCTATAGCTAAAAAAATGATGATAATAGAGATTGAAACACTTATTTTGGTCTTCTCAAGTGTGCTAGATATCTTTCAAATTAAGTAATCAAATTATAAAAAACCTAATATATATTGTATTTAGTAATATATAATGTATATATCTGATTTAATTTTATTATTATTTAACTTAAGAATGTATGATTATTAGATAATTATCTATTAATCATTATAATACTTGCTACATTTGTTAATATATATATATTTTTAGTAGTATTTTATACCATCTGTAATTTATGAATTATAATAATCATGTTTTCGTATAACAGATTAAAAAAATCTCCCAGTTGAAATACTTAAACGCTAATGCAATATTAATAATTAAATACATTTTTTTTTACAATATTTACAAAGTTAGGGCATGAATTAGTATTAAGAGTAGAGTATCTTAGGCAATAGATCATCAAACATTAAAGTATGTTTGTAATTAATTACTTAAAATTAAGTTAGAAAATCTCCACACCACCACTCTTTTAATCTTTTACAAAAATTTCCTGTATTGCGTTACAGGAGAGGACTGATAAAAGAGAATTTTGGTGTTGAAATAATCAATATTTGATTTAATTCTATATAAAAAATATACAAGGTGATTCCATAACGACACCTCACAAAATATTATCAAAAATATAAGAGCTAATTAATTTTTTAATAACAATGGATTGTTAAGCTACTTTATACGAAATATTAATTTTCTGCTATCATCCCTTATACTATAAACTTATATCAACTTTCGATTTTCAAACGGCAACGTCAATTTTTTTTATACCATCAGATTTATT